AGGAGAAGGAAAAAATACAGGAGAAAGCGGAGGAGGAGCAGGACCGGAAGACATAGAAAACACGTTCATAATTCGACCGTGGACCATCCGCCGACCCCTTGGGATCATCGGCGTGTGACGCGCGTCCCCCTCCCCAAAACCCCCCCCAGAACCCCGGTCCGCTCGACTTGGACGGCGATGTGCCCCACCGGCCCCCCCGTCCCAACCAAGGAAGATCCCCCGCCAGCCAAGAATCTCTGGTGGCCGCGAAAAAGTCCCAGGACGCTCCACGACGAGTCAGGATGACCACCACTTGGATCAGATTGGCCCCAAAGATGCCCTATGATGGCTTCAAGACAGCACATGAGGCCCCCGAGACGCCCCAAGAAGCCTACATGAACCCTGGCACAAGGGCCTCTACGGGTGCAACTCGTCCCAATCCCTTAGGAAACGCACACTTTCACGATATACCCAGCTCCTGTTTCATCTGCTCCCGAAAAGACGCTCCCCAAATCGCCCCCAGACGGCCCTCCAAGAGACCCCCACGAGGCCCGCGCGAGCTTCCACGGTAAGCCCTCCCCCTATCAATCCCGTCCATGGCGCCACGGCGACGGCGACGCGCCGCCAGTTCCTGAAGGGGTCGGCGGATGTGGCGTAAGCCTATAGAATCATAACCTTCAGTCGACAGCATCGCTGACCGCAAGTCCCATGACTGGTTCTTTACCGGATCGGTGAAGGTCCAATCCATTGCCTCCTTCTGGCACTGCGCGGTGCACAGGCCATCTGCACCCGCAGAGTTGCAAAAGTCCAGACATTCAGAGAGCTCTCCGTCCATGACACCTACGGCAAAGAGGCGGAACTCACTAAATCGCATCAGAGTAACAAAGTCGTACCTTGCATACTCTTCCTGCGTGACGGTAAAGTTGCATCCGATGAGCATGGTCAGGAACAGGGCGCTGACCACGCCCGAGAGCTGCAAGAGCGCATCCAGGTCAGTCGTTGAACTTGATTGACAAAAAAACGACACCTGCCAAGCGTCCTCATCATTGCTGCGGCTTCACCCTGGCCACGCGTCCTCACCGTCAGGGGGATCAATGCAAAGTGCACGTTTGGCGAAAGCTGGCGGTCTCAATCAAAACGGATTGTAAAAACGGCTTGAGCCTTGAGCCAAAAAGGCTACGGAATGGGCCCTGATCTGTCTTGGCACACCTGATATGGGTACGGACAACGAAACAAAGTACGATGCCCCATCGCACACGTCGTCCAAAACTGGCAGCGGCCGCCGTTGTGCAGTTGACTTTTTGCGTCAAATGAAAAACGTCCGCGGCGACGTTGCTGCAACGAGTCCTGTTTAAGATGGACAAGAATTGCTGCCGGCACTCGTCCCCCGTCTTTGTCCAATCTGAATCGCACTGACGCTCGACAGGTTGTGTTGTCTTGGAGTCGTGTCGTATGCTGGTCAGTGGCTTGCTGTGCAGTTGGTACCGATGGGCTGGAAGGTGGGTCCTTCTCAATTGCCGTACTGATGTTGCTGGTGGTATTTGCTGTTCCCTTTGCCTTTGCCTCCGGCATGGGAGGTCTGTGTGGTCGGACATTGTGTAGTGTGTCGGACGTGGTGGCTGTTGTGCGCTGTGTCGTTGGCCGAGCAGTTGTCGTGCCTTGTGGAGATGATGCTGGGCGTCCTCCTCAAATAGGGTGCGTGCTGCACTCTAGAGGCACTGGAGGCAAACAGCAACAAAAAACGCTCCCTCCCCTCCCCAAACCTGCGATGGTTCGGTTTGCTTGATTTGGGTCACCGAACTTCGCGCACCGCGCCTTGCCGTGCGCGGTGATCTGTCCACCCTCCAGCCCGCGCGCCGCCCCGTTGGCTCAGGCCGCGGCCGAGAATATCTTCGCGTCCCCGCGGGTGACCTAGTTGACACACGGGGACCTATGGGCCCTGATCTGTCTTTTTTTTCCGAAGCATCCCTCCTGCTCACCCTGACCTGCTCCGCCCACCGTCTGCAATGGAGACGGCCGAACGCGGTTCCACGGAGTCGAGGCGCGCACACGCTTGACATCGATTCAAACAAGCGGCAGCACGCTACGCCTGACTCGCGCGTGAAGCGCTGGCAAAAAAATCTGGCACGCAACACAGCGCCCCCGCTGGCTGGCCGTCCCCTGCCAACTCCACCGACCGACTGCTCCGGCTTCTTCTGCCACCATCCCTCCTGCTCACCCTCGACTCCTCTATTCACTATCGGCAAACTGCTGATCGCGGTGTCACGGAAAAAAGGCGCGCACACGCTTGCCATCGATCAAAACAAGCGGCAACGCGCCAAGCTTGACGACCATTCGGACGACCTGGCAGCACATTGCTTTGCAGGTGGGAGTAGGGAGGGAGAGGAGGAGACCGCGGCGAGAAGGCAAAAGGAGGGAGGAGGTGGAACAATAATGATGCGTTGGATGGTTGAGCCGCAAGAGACATGGGCGCACAAGCCTGGGTCCCCCATGGGCACACAAGCCCAGATTTGTTTCTTTTCTTTTTTTTCACAAAAACACAAACAAAAAAACGCATGACGCTTCGCGGCAGCAGCTTCTGTTTGCACCGCTGACGAAACACCGCCGATGCGCTCACTCAAACACACGGCCTTGTCGTGGATTACTGGGGACTGCTCGCAAGTGTTACCTTACGCGTCATTGCTGACGGCCCCCCTCAACATCTGCCGCACGTGGCGTTGGCGTCCTCGTTGTCATATTCTTTTTGGCGCGACAAAATGGCTCGCCGAGAACGATAATGCTAGTGAACACGAAACACATTACCAAAAGGATCGAACTGACCAACCTTGGCCCTGAGTTGGCCTGCCGACCGACTTCCCGAGCCGCTGGGTAGCGCATCCACGTGACCGAATTGGCCGAATAGATGAACAAGCCTATGGCAGCGACGAGCGCAAGGAACATCATGAACACGGCAAAGGTTCCGGCTGTGGCCCAAAGGTGCATATCAGACCCTTCCTTTGAACCACCGTCCCCCCGCGCGTCGGACAATTGAAGGCCCACGTAGAGGACAACGGAAGCCACAAACGCGACGGTAGTTAGACTCATGGCCCACATGGACGGATACAAGCGTTATTCCAACGGTCGTGCATCGTGCTCCAAGCGAGCATCTTTTCCATGGGGAACACGGGCTCGAGCAAATGAGTCACCGCTTCGTGCTCGGGGACGGACGAGCCATAACCATAGTCTTCAGTCGACAGCATCGCTGACCGCAAGTCCCATGACTGGTTCTTTACCGGATCGGTGAAGGTCCAATCCATTGCCTCCTTCTGGCACTTCGCGGTGCACAGGCCATCTGCACCCGCAGAGTTGCAAAAGTCCAGACATTCAGAGAGCTCTCTGTCCATGACACCTACGGCAAAGAGGCGGAACTCACTAAATCGCATCAGAGTAACGAAGTCGTACCTTGCATACTCTTCCGGCGTGACGGTGAAGTTGTATCCGATGAGCATGGTCAGGAACAGGGCGCTGACCACGCCCGAGAGCTGCAAGAGCGCATCCAGGTCAGTCGTTGAACTTGATTGACAAAAAAACGACACCTGCCAAGCGTCCTCATCATTGCTGCGGCTTCACCCTGGCCACGCGTCCTCACCGTCAGGGGGATCAATGCAAAGTGCACGTTTGGCGAAAGCTGGCGGTCTCAATCAAAACGGATTGTAAAAACGGCTTGAGCCTTGAGCCAAAATGGCTGCGGAATGGGCCCTGATCTGTCTTGGCACACCTGATATGGGTACGGACAACGAAACAAAGTACGATGCCCCATCGCACACGTCGTCCAAAACTGGCAGCGGCCGCCGTTGTGCAGTTGACTTTTTGCGTCAAATGAAAAACGTCCGCGGCGACGTTGCTGCAACGAGTCCTGTTTAAGATGGACAAGAATTGCTGCCGGCACTCGTCCCCCGTTTTTGTCCAATCTGAATCGCACTGACGCTCGACAGGTTGTGTTGTCTTGGAGTCGTGTCGTATGCTGGTCAGTGGCTTGCTGTGCAGTTGGTACCGATGGGCTGGAAGGTGGGTCCTTCTCAATTGCCGTACTGATGTTGCTGGTGGTATTTGCTGTTCCCTTTGCCTTTGCCAATCTGAATCGCACTGACGCTCGACAGGTTCCCAGCATCTGGTGTATCGCCCCTGACAGCTCCGCCTGGACAATTGAATTCCATCGATTCGGGGAATGTGACCAACCGAACTCCTAATCCAGTCGGGCTGCGTCGGCACGGAGTCGGAATCGGATCGGATCGGCTGCGCCGGATCGGATCGTCGGCGTCTCGGGATCGAATCGGATCGGACTGGAACAAGCCGGCATCGCAACTGATCGATTGGATCGATGTTGGCCCTTGCCTTTCGCCGCTGACCGTTGCGTCCGGCGGCGGCCACCAGAGGCCGAGAGCGGCGAAACTCCACATTGTGTTGTTCAGCGCGCTCGATGTGTGCGGGCCCTCATCCTCTTTGCGCGTGCGCTCCCTCGGGAGCGCGCGCGGGAGGAAGACGAGGCGGATGATCATGAGGAGAAGGAATACCGGGAGCAGGAGAGGTGGAGGTAAGGCAGGAGAAGCAAGGGGAGCAAGCAGGGACAACAAGAGGAGGAGGAGGAGGAGGAGGAGGAGGAGGAGAAGGCGGAGGAGGAGGCAGGTCATGAGGAGAAGAAGAAGGAGAATGAGGAGGAAGAGGGAGGAGGCGCGAAAGGAGGAGGAGAGAGAGGAGGAGGAGAGAGGAGGAGGAGGAGGAGGAACAGGAGGAGGAGGAGGAGGAGGAAAAGGAGGAGGAGCAGGAGAAGGAGGAGGAGCAAGAGAGGCACGAGGAGGCGGGAGGAGGAGTCGGAACACGTGGTGGACTGCTGTGGTCTTCGTCTCCAAGCTCTGAGGAGATGGAGGAGGAGGAGGAGGAGGAGGAGGAGGAGGAGGAGGAGGAGGAGGAGGGCGACGAGAAGCTGGAGAGGACGAGGAAAACGAGGAGGAGCCGGGGGAGCAACAGGCGAAGGTCCGATCCTGGAGCCCCGGGCGGCCCGCCGGATCGGGGGGCACCGCGCGGCGAGCCCGCCGCGAGGGCGGACGCGGGCGCGCCGGGGCTCGCTGGGGCTCTGCGCAGGGGCGGCGCCGCGGGCGTGAGAGGCCTGGTGGGCTGCGAAGGAGGGCGGGGGGGGTGGGGAAGGGGGGGGGAGAGAAGAGGGGGGGGATGAGGGAGGGGGATGGGATCGGGAGAGGATGAGGAGGGGGGTGAAGAGGAGGAGAAGGAGGAGGAGGAGGAGAGGAGGAGGAAGAGGGGGGGAAGGGTGGAGGAGGAGGAAGCTGAGGATGAGGAGGAGGAGAGGAGGTGGAGGAGGAGGGAGGAGGAGAGGAGGAGGAGGAGGGAGGAAGAGGAGGAGGGGGAAGGGTGGAGGAGAAAAAGGAGGAGGAGGAGGAGGACGAGGGGAGAAGGAGGAGGAGGAGGAGGAGGAGGAAGGAGGAGGAGGAGAGAAGGAGGAGGAGGAGAGGAGGAGGAGGAGGAGGAACAGGAGGACGGGGATGAAAGGGGGAAGAAGAGGAGGAGGAGGAGGAGGAGGAGGCGGAGCGGAGGAGCAGGAGGAGGAGGAGGAGCAGGAGGAGCAGGAGGAGAAGAGAGGAGGAGAGGAGGAGGGGAGGAGGAGGAGGAGGAGGAGGAGGAGGAGGAGGAGGAGGAGGAGGAGGAGGAGGAGGACGAGTAGGAGAGCACGCATCCGGCGGGGGGCGCGTCTCTTGTCTACGCGGCGGGGGCGGGGTTCGCCGCAGGTAGGCTACCGTCGGGGCAGTCTGGGCGCGCCGCCGAAGCTGCCTGCGGGGCCGCCCGCGGCGCCTCGGGGGGCGGCGAAGGCGCAGGGGGAGCGCGACGAGAGGCCGCCGGGAGCGTTGCTGGGCGGTCCGGGGGGCCGTCTGGGGCGCTGGGGGGGGCTGCCGGCGCGGGGGTCGCGGGCGCTGGGCCATCGCGAAGTCGACGTATTGCCGCGAGCTGGATTCCCGGAGCCGCCTCGCATGGGGGACGACGCGGCCGTGCTTCTCGCAGAACTTGTTGCAGAGGTGGTAGATGTGGAGCGCGAACACGAGCCCGCGAAGAGCCACCCAACGGAACCACTCGCAGGCGTGCGTACTTGGCCGCGCTGCCAAGCCCAAGGCGGCCGAGAGGGCCCCGCGGAACGGACCGTGGCAGAACAGGCAGCGTCGCGGCTGCATGGTGATGATGACGACGACGATGATGATGATGCTGATGATGATGATGAAGCTGATGATGATGAAGATGATGATGATGCTGGTGATGATGATGATGATGATGATGATGATGATGGTGATGATGATGATGATTTGTTCCCTCCAGCCTCAGGCAGAGTTGAACAGGTTTATCGCAGCACCTTCTTCTGGGCCACTTGACGCTTGGCAAGCTTTGAGGTTCCTGGTGGCAGGCCTTGCTGCACTCTCCTCAACTGCTGCTTGCCATATTTATTCAAAAAACGATGAGCATGATTCACTCAACTTCCTGACCGCTTGGGTGGCTACACAACCGCAGGCAAGACAGACCGTGCTCCCGAACTCCTTGTGATAAGCCAAGGTATGGGAGCTATGCAAATCAATGCCACTGACTGTGCTCTTAATGGGTACCATGATCATTCCCCTAAAAAGGCCCTGGTGGCAAGGGGTATATAAAAACTTGGATGCCATTCTCCATGGCGAACAACCTCCACAAGTGTGACACCTGACCTGGGAACCAATCCCCCACACTGGCTCATGAGCAGCGAGCTTCAACTTAATCCGAATTTGGTGACTGACAGGTTTCAGGGCCGCTTCTCGCGGCGCGCGATTGCCATCTCCTTCGATAGACGCAAGCAAGCTGTGACCGAGGTGCTGGCGAACTTGGTACGCAATCGCTTGCGCATGGGACCTGCTGTCCCTAAGCGCCACAGAAACTCTAATATCTTCCGCCCACTGGTTCGGTATTCGGTCAGCCAATTCATTCAATAGGAAAAAAACAGGGGGTCGATTCCCAGGTCACTGATTTCTGAAACATTCCTGTGGTTCTCAACTTTGGCCAGCACCACCCCTCTGGATGGATACTCCGCCAACAAGTCACGCACATTCTGCCACGCATCTAGGTGTAATTTTGGTGAGAATCCCTGTCGGATTTTCTCAACATTCTTGACAACATAAGATGAATCTGTCACAAAGAAGCCGTCTGCAACAGGGAGGACAGCCCGCAGAAACTCAAGGAAACTCATCGCTTCCCCCCTGTTGACCGACTGGCGCCAGCCAGGCGCATTACCGAAACTTACCTGATGCGCTTGGAGCTCTCTGGGATCACATGCGCCTCCTGGTCGGAGGCCTCTAAAAACTACCCCGGACCAGGCAGCGCGGCGGAGGGCAGGGCCCTGCGAATCTGACCCCCCGCTGGCGTCACCGCCTCCGAAAATGAAACCATCAACCACCGCATCCCCCAACTCGCCCCCAAAGGTCCGAAAATCTGCTTCGTCGGGGGGCGGAGGGGCGGCGGTCCAGCTGCTCGGCGTCAGCCCACGCAGCCAAAAGCTAGGATTGGCCTCCCAGTCCTCTAGCGCTCTGCGGCGCACGGACTCAGAGAATTCGGAAAACAAAAAAAAAAACTCAGCATTCCTAGGACAGCCCCAAGCCCTGTGCACGTCACGCTCTACCAACTCCCCACACCTTTTACAGGGGCTGTCCTGAGCGAGACCGCATTCTTGGAGCCTTGCGCGTGGCCAGCTGTTGCCCGTAGCCGCAGCTTTCAAGATTCCTCTCCACTCGTGCTTGCCCTTCTTCGCTAAAGAGCGAAGCTGGCGCTTAAAGTCATACGAATCTGGGGCCTGCTCTAGACCTGACCCATTCCACGAGTTGGCCGCAGCAGCAGCCCATAGTTGTCGCTCTTTACTTTGGGCCAGAGCCTCAAACAGGTCCGCGAGGTCAACCTTGCCTCGCCCGAGCTTGGTTTCTGGAATCGCGAACCGCTTGCCCAGGTCACTCTCCCAGGCCCAGGGGCCCCGGGGTTTCCAACCCACATCCAGCAGAGTGGCGATCGTGGCGGCAGTGGGAGTGCCGATCCCACGCCATCGATTCCTAGCTGGTTTGGGCCCAAGCTCGGCCGCGACTTTCCTCCAAACTCGCCTCGTCTTATCGGCGTCGAAGCTAGCGTGGGTTAAAATCTGAAACCAAGCTTCTATAGTGTCGAACATCGCAAAGAAGGCCGGGTCTCGCCTTCCATACTCCAGCGCAAGAAGCGTGGTCAAGTGGTCAAGCACCTACCCCCTTTCGAGACACCACCCGTCAACCTACCCAACGCTCTCCGCCAACCAAGGACATCACTGGGTGGGGTGCCATGGACCTTGTCTGAGGTCATAGCCATCTTACGAGCCCACTTTTTTCGGAGTCTGTTGCCATTCGCCAGCTTGCCGAGTCTGGTGAGCCGCCTCACAGCCCCCGCTCTCCTACTGGCTTGCTTGGGCCTCGACGACTTTACCTGGCCTCTGTCAATGCCTAGATCAGCAACTACCTTCTTAGCCTGCACGCGGATGCCTTGCCCGCAAAAGTAATCCTTGAGTCTCACGGCCAGCCCCCAGGAAGACGAGATGATGGCCGATTTTGGAGCAATCTGCAACTTGATCGCGCGCAGGCCCTGGACCAAATCAAGGCCCAGCTTTGACAATTCATGAAAGACTCTGCCGGTGTTGCCATACATGCACTGTACAATGTAATCGACCCACGTGTGCAGCGTAGGCAGAGGGCGACCCGTGGCGATTTCTCTGCAGACGAAATGGAGGGCCGCCCTACCTAAGTCCACTGCACCACTGCTGCCTGGAATCAGTGACATGCCTGGCTGCGCAGCCTGCGAAAATCCTCCAGCCTCGCGAAGAAGCCTGGCAGCCATCTGGACCTGGAGCTCCAGGGCCAAATAGCAGGGAGGAGAATCCAAATCCAAAGCGTTGTCCAGGACCAGGTCCCAGCGAAGACTATCGTAGAAACCTTTCACGTCCCAGAGCAAGCTGGCACTCTGGTGATCTGGAAGAACCGAGTGGGCAGCTTGCTCGTCTCTAAAAAGCCTGAGAAGAGCTACCTGCAACGCCGGACATCCAGCCAGTGCCGTGTCCCACGGTCCTGCTCGCTCCTTGGCCCAACCAGCTCGGTCCGAGGTTCGCAGTCGCCCCCAAAAACGGACCACCCAGGCCAGTGGGCCTATCGCTCTCTCGGAATCTTCGTCTTTGACCTGGAGCGTTACAAAAACAACAAGGGCCTGCCAAGGCCAACAAACCCTCTGTTCTACTAGGGCATACAAATCTGCTAATTGCTGCAGGCCTAGCTGCGGTAGCCATTGAAAGTCCTTCTTAGACAGCCTATCTACACCTGGTGCTTTTTCGGGCAAGGCCGAAATGACCCTCTTGAGCCAGTCGGCTCCAAGCGGGGGCCTCGGGTTCGACTTGGCCCTAGACTGGGCCTTGCGCCGGAGAGAACGGACCCTAGGAAAACAATCGCTGTCACCTGCCCACTTAGCTGCCCAGAAATCAGCCTTGACAGCCATTCTCTGGCAGGAGTCTCCAGCCGTTTCCCCCCCAGTCCGAACCTCCCCCGCGTGCGCCGCGTTGTCCCGAATGCGGCTGTATAAGCCTCGGCCTCCAGCCTGATCCTGGTGCATCACCCGCTGGTGGAAGCACGAGAGCGTGTTATTCAAAACCACTCGCTGAGCTCTCGCAGAATTCTGCCTGGCTCTAGCGTCGAAATCTCTGACCGTCTGGCCCGAAGCCTCTCTGAGAACGCGGAGACCACGAACCCATTCTGAGCGAATCTTGGTGGTGAGAGGCAAGACTGGTGAGACTGGCGTCGTGGCTGCCATGTCTCTGAGACGTTCAAAAAGCCTAGTCGGCCTATGCTTTGTTCGATCGTCCAGAAAACCCACAAGGTCCGACAAAAGAAAACTCAAGGTAGCCCACCATATGGGCCACAGGGTCCCTGGACGAAGCGAAATGGGCCCCCTCGGCCTCGGGCCGTTTCTGAAGCTCTCTAAGCTGGGCACGACCTTTAAAACGCTGCCGGTCCTTTGGGTGAGCCTCTAACACTGCACAAAAGAATCCTTCGAAACGCGAGAGCCACTCGGCAAAAGCTGCGC